CTTCCCTTTGATTTCCAGGTCAGGGAACTAGGAAAGGGACCTCTGTCTGCTTGTTTCTCCTTTGTAATGTTACTCTATTCCAAGCCTTATGTTTTATTCACCAGGAAAGAATGAACCCCACAAGTCTATGACTTCCCACAACACTAACAAACAGAACCTCAGGGGGCCCAACCACTACACCGCCAACCCCACCGTGTGCCCACAGGCCTGCCCTGACCCTAGGCCCGGTGAGCAGTACCTTTGTGTGTTTCTAGTTTCCTGACAGTGGTGACTTAGAACCCTCACAAGAAGCTCACCGGCATTTCCAAGTTGGTCTTACGGGTGTTTCCAGGGAGCTCAAGGAGTGCCCAGGTGAGGCGCCCTTGGTTACCAGCATTGGTAGAACAAAGAAAAAGATGAAAATTTGTAAAGTAAACAGCATGCTTAATAAAAACTGTGGGCAAAGTGGAAATCACATGAAAATGATGAAGATGTTGGAGGAGGACAAACTGGACTAATACATAGGAGAGAAGAGCACAGGACTCCGTGATGGTGCACGATGTGTGGTGCTGGGAATTCACTGGGGACTTCACGTGAGGAAGAAAGTACACATTATACAAAAATGAAGAATGTGGGGCCTCCCTGGTAGTGCAAGGAGTTAAAGCACAACACTATGAAGCTATCTGCAGCCACTATAGCATGACTCGATCCCCCACCAGGGAGCTGACCCACATAGCACAGCAGACCTCTCCTGTCTTGCCTGCTGCTCCCCTAAGCAGTGTGTTTCGGTCAGTCAGCCTGTTCTGCCCCCAACTCTGTCTCTGGTGAAGCCTCTCACCACCCCTGCACCTGTGGCCCGTACCTCAGAGCAGGAAGGTTGGGGACTGCAGGAAGGATGTGACCTGCTGTACTGAACCTCACGCCTAGTCACTGCCCCGGCCCTGGCTTCCAGCATGTTCCAAGGCAGTGCTCCTGCTCCTTCCTGCCAGCAGGTTCCAGAGGCCTCTGTCTCACCTGAGAAAAATGTTCGGGTAACACTGCCCCCTGGTGGCCA